CCTTCACCGGTATATGGTGACATCTCTACATGTACATGAGTGAAAAATTCTCAAATGATCGAGACGTTAAACAGTCAATTAATCAATTTATCATTATTAATACTGCAAAGAATTTAAAAGAGATTTTATAATCCAATAATACTTATAAAAACATATATTGGTATGCACTTTATTGCATTATTTACAGTTAATGATATATCAAGATATGTAAGGCAATATTTTCACCTAAAACACAATCCAAGTAAAGATACGGCAAAAAAAAAAAAAAAAAAAAAAAAAAAAAAAAAAAAAAAAAAAAAAAAAAAAATATATATATATATATATATATATATATATATATATATATATATATATATATATATATATATATATATATATATATGGACAGATCACGACATATCAAGTTTCCCTTATAAGAAAGCTGCATGATATGGTATGGCAAATATCTATTTTGTATGTAACATTACAATAACGTCAAAAAGAAAATAAATACATATACTTTATACTTGTCAAAAAATATGTTGGTTTGGTTTATGTAAATTCAAATATATATAGCTTTTCTCCATATTTCAGTTATTAATACAGTGTTCATATTTATACGAAATATGAGTTAAAGAAGGTACATGGAAAAATTTTTCATCAAGATATATATTTTTGTCTAAAATCAAGATCAACAATTTCAATTTCAGTATAATGCATATGCATCATTTTCTTTTATTATATTCATAACATTGTTAATGAAGGGAGTTATTTTGATGTCCGTGCAGAAGGCACGGGGCGTTATTGGAGCATTGTAAAAAAAAAAATAAAACACAGGATACCTTTCTTTGCTATGGATTGCTTTGAAGATTATTATTAGGTTGACCGAAATTATAATGTGAAAGATTCCTCCACAAAATCTCCTTGTTTCCTTCCAATGTGATATAATTCATTATAGGTGCAGGCATTTACTGTTATCATTCTGTTGAAAAGGTAACAATTTTAATAAGTTGTTTGACATCAGATTAACAATAGCTATATAGTATCAATTTTAAATGTTCTTCAACAATAACAAATGTTTTATTTCTAATAAAAAATATTTGACCTTAAAGTACTGACATTGATACGCACAAAAAGCGAAACATTGCAAACAATCTTAGAACTTTTCAGTGCATAGGTTTGTGTACATCTTAATGCATATACATTAACATTCATTTATGTGATAGAAGTAGGAAGACTTAGATGACGATAACAAACAATGATCAATCTTGTGAATCGTATTAATAACATACAAACTGAGAATAGGGGAAAGAACCCTTAGAATAACAGAGATGGGGACACATTGATTAGGTAAAGGAATTTATCTGTAGTTAAAGTTAATATGAAATACAAAACAACGACCGAACCATTGGTATGAAACAATTCAGTGAAAATTCGACTCAACTATAGATTATTATTAATTCCAGTTAAGTGTGCCGTTTGGCATTACGTCACAATCTATGACGACAGCTGCGCTCAAGGTAAATAGTACACACCTCCTAACCGTAAGCTTTATGACTGAAAGTTTTTTCTTATCCCTGATTGGTTGCTCGTGCAACAGACTATTTCCGTGAGAATGTTGATAAAATGATTTGACCAATCACACAGAGGGGGCGTGAATTGATTACGCTGGCTCGTCTGTCGAAAAAGATCGTAACGTAATGCGAAACGGCACACTTAACTGGAATTAATGATATATTTGCAAACAATGTCATTGTAACGACCATACAACATGCAAGCTCTTACTTGAATTGTAAAACATTTATTTTTTATTGATCAGACTTCAGAACCTGGAGGAGCCAACCCTGAAATTTTCTTATTTCTGACATTTTCCCGAAAGTTTGAGCTTCCTTACGTCCGTGTGTCATCAAATCAAAGATTGCTCAAACTCGCAATTGCATTGGGTTTTTTTTCCTCGATTTGTGATTTTTCTCAAATGAATGTACTAGCAAACTTTTTCATGACTCGGTTAAGAAAAAAAAGAGAATTCGGAGTTGAAGCTTTTTGCATGTTAATTTCTGTCACTTGAGCATTCAAGTCAGGCCCTGTATATACACCAGAAGATACCGGATGAATATGCATCATTTTACTGTAGTGTTAACCCCCCTATAATGATTAAATTAGCAGTATTGACCGGAAAAAGAAGGGGCGAGTGCAAATTAAGACTCACTGTAGCTTCCTTCAAAGATTAAGATTTTAATATGTTGGTGGCCCCGAGGACAGACTTTGTTGCCGGATGACCGAGTACAAAACACCTGTGAAATAAATTTAAACTCATTTTTGTGTCGCCTGCAGAGCAAAGTGACACTAAGGGATCATTTTACCCGGCGTCTGTCTGTCCGTCTATCACACCCTTTATTTTGAGAACTGTAAGAGGTATGGATTTGATATTATGCATATATATTGCTTGGCAGTATGGCTTTTGTAAATTACCACGATAACCTACCTAGTGACCCTTGGCCTTGACCTTTGACCTAGTTATGAAAATAGTTCAAAGCGCCGATATACAGCATATTTTTGAAATTTTTGAAGTAATTTTATGCTATTCAGCATGTGCACTGTTTCTCATAAGACATTTTGAAAAATATCTGCATTACAATCCACTTGACCTTGACCTTTGACCTAATTTGCAAAAAAAAAAAAAAAAAAAAAAAGAAAAAAAAAGAAAAAAAAAAACCACCCCGGGCAGTTTAATTAAACTTATGAATTTTGAATTTTAAGAGGCAGAATTTTGATAATTAGCATTTATACATGTTTATGAGCTCATGATACTGTACTTTGAAACTGTATGATATTCAGTTACCACACAAACTTACATCTAAATATCGCCAAAATACATCGGGATCGGTATTCCACAATGGTTCATGTAGACTAAAAATTGCAGTAAAGACAGACTGAAATCTCTTTTGGAGGATTGTTGGAAACACGTATTAATAAAATGATTAAAAAAAAGGTTATTTCTAATAATATTAATATCAATTTAATTATCCATTTAAGGGTTAGGGAACCATATTTTCTTTGAATGTCAGATTTTATCCCTTATACTACAGTATCGATTGATGCCATTTTTTCTTTGCAGGCAAATGTACGAAATATCATGCTAAAAGTAAATAAGAAGGTGACCACTCTTATATTTATTTACATCATTAATGGAGCTACAAAGCAGGCGACACATGCGTTCCTGGAACACTCTAGTTTTCTAAAACATGCCAGAAAAAGAATAAAATCACTCTAATGTCAATAATCAATTATCTTTTGAAGGAAAAATATAAACAATAAATATATATGATATATGACATGTATTTATCCTACTCTGTAAAAAGCAACTGAGACATCTTATACATTGGACATTCGCGAGCCTACATTTAGAATACATGTATATCTATGTCATCTATGTGCAATTTAACCATCTGTTATTAAATAAAGTGTAACTTTTGACTGCTTTGAGTAGACACCTGATATTTGGACACATGTATAAGGAGTCTCCATGCTTTATGTACAGTGAAGGTCAAGATCATATTTAGAGGTCAAAGGTCAAATTGACGTCATCTTCTGATTCTTTTAATTTTTTTTGCATTGAAATTTTTAAATCTCCAAAATATCTGAAACCCATGGTTCAATTTTCTTCATTTTGAGGTTTTAATTGGTTTGATATTGATTGAATTAATATTTTTTTTTAGCCGAATTTGAATCACTCGTTTTCTTTTAAGAGATTTTAAATTGTAGCATATTTACATGCAGAGCAAGGTATGTTCTATTTTGACATCACAGCACACTTATATACTGGTATCAATATGTTTTATCGATGCATAAAAACAAAAATATCACTTTTATAAGCAACATCATACATATTTGTAATATATCAAATGGTAGTTTTTAAACAATGCACATTCTAATGTTGAATGTCTAATTTCACCCTCTTCTTACAGAGATCTGAGAGGCTATATTTCGATCTATGTGGGCAAAAAATGTGAGGTTCTTTTTCTTTCATATTACATAAAAAGAGATATTTTATATCTTAGAACAAAATATCAAAGTTTAAAACAATTTGAATTTGAGGAAAAATTTGTCCTATCTGTTTTGTACTATCTTAAGCCATCCCTTAATTTTATAGTTACGTAAAAGTTCATTTGTCAACAACCACATAACTTGAAGTTACCAAACATATACAGAAAACAAAATTTGTTTTCAGGTAACATGCACAATACACATAGAATTTGCAGTGCGAATTGTCTTCTGATTATACATTTGACGTATTGTACAGTTTTTGAATAATAATAAAAAATAATATAAAAAATATAATACCACACTAGACATTATGGAAATGTAATTTACAGCAATTTCCAGTCTGTAGCAAAACCGTAGATGGAGTTAAATTTTTGAAAATTTCCTTATAGAGAAACAGACAGATAGACAGATGAACGACAGACACCTTATCGTCGGTCTTTGACCAATAATTGATAAGAAAGGTTAATAAGTTAATAAGAAATGTGTAAAGTTAGATTCTGAACATCAATTCGATAAAAAAAAAAATACCTAAATGAAAAAGCATGATATGCACGCTAGCAGCGATCTTCCTCCTTGATTAAACCTTTTGTATTTCGAGCAACATGGAGAGGCAATGTTCGATATTCCCTACAACCCAAGTGTCGGAAGCCTGAAGCATTCTCATTATCTTGTCAAACGTGACTTTATTCTAAACCCATTCTTTTGATTAAAAGAAAGTTATGTCTAGATTAGGCAAGGCTTGTGATATCCAATACAAGCTTAAATGACCATGACTTCTGAATCTGGTTTCCGCTGTGATGCTGATGTATTTTATGTGATGGGTGTTGGATGATTCTATAAAAGTGACAACGTACAAGGATAACGTTTTTGATCTTTGCATGCAATACTGTTTACAGCGATGTTTTCGAGAGATTTTATCCGCATGTTTTATTAAGAGGCTAAGGAATATTGGAATCAATAACTGTGAAATTTGAGGGCATATTTCTTGCATATGATAAATTCGTCTTAAAGGAGGGGACAGCAGAAAAGTCGAAGATGGTGTTAATTTTGATAGCATTGCTTATTCACGTCCAATTTTTATTTTCTGAACAAGAATTGTTCTCCGACGAACAGAAATTACTAGCTGACTTGGGTCTCTTTGACATGGAGGTTTATGACAAGAGTGTGAGGCCAGTTTTCAACGCCTCTAAGAATGTCCTGATAGATTTTGGATTTACATTGATACAAATTGTGGACATGGTAAGGCTATCAAAACTGTCTGAAAGTTTGTAAAATAAGATTACATATACAGTTTCAGGTGATACTGAAATTTAACATTGGTTTTCCAAATAGCACAGGTCAGATGAAGTCTATTATGTCAAAGATGATAAATGTTTTATGTAAATCTTAATATCTAATATTCTTAGAATAGCATTTCTATCAAAATAACGACTTCTTAGAGTATTAACAATACTCCTATGACACATTTGTTCCATTTGATATCTCTAATGAAAGCAATCTTTTACAGGACGAGAAAAACCAAGTTTTGGTTACAAATGCTTGGCTGGTCCATGTAAGCTATTCATTTTATTATTTTTCTTGGATAGTAAAATGCGAATTGTTATGTTGATAATTTATTTTTAATATTGAGATAAAGATATAATCTGTAATAGTTATGATAAAATCTAGAAACTGAAGGAGTATGGAGCATTACTGTCGGCGAATTCGTGGTATGTCTTATTGTAAAACTTTCTTCTTGATTCTATCCTTATGCTCTCTCTAAACAAATATATAGACATGCGTATTGTAAAAAGACCTTGTCAAATTTTGCTTTCTTTATATGAAATGTGCAACTCATACAGTCAATTCAATATCCTGAAAAAAATTGGTTAGATATAACATAAAATGCAACACTTAAGCATCTTTAAGATCTTTGCAAAATTGTTACTAAACGATACTTTTATTGTAATAAAGAAATAAATTATATTTCATATTGATTAATATATGAATGATTTTCAGTCCTTTTTGACTAATTTAATAAAGATAAAAGCATTATCTCTCACAAACGTGAGAAGAAAGGAATCACATATACAAACTCTTTAACTAGTGAATGACGGATTTCATTAATTAAACTGAGGATTGATTCCATCCTTTATATTTGGTTTAGAAATGGATTGATGACAGAATTCGCTGGAACACGAGTGGTTATAGTGGTTTGTACAACCTAAGAGTTCCAGCACGTCTTCTCTGGCTTCCTGATGTCGTATTGTATAACAAGTAAGTAACAGTGATGACTGTATATGAATTTAAATTGATTGATTGATTGTATGTTGTTTTACGTCCCATTCGAGAATTTTTCACTCATATAGAGAGGTCACCATATATCGGTGAAGGGCTTCAAATTTTGACGTTTACTCGGCACTCAGGGCCATTGAGCAGTGAGGGATCTTTATCGTGCCAACGCCTGCCGTGACACGGGGCCTCGGTTTTTAAGGTCTCATCCGAAGGACCCGCAACTTTCACTTCAAAGTGCCGAGCGCATGGCGAGGGAACAGTTGCTACCCATTTTTTATCGACTGAGGTCAGTCGCGGCCGAGATTCGAACTCACGACCTCCCGATCACGGAGCGAGCGCTCTACCAACTGAGCTACCGTGAACGGTGTATATGAATTTAGAACTAAGGAATTTAAGACTATGGTCAAGTATAATATTGCCTTAAAATCTATTAATTATAACTTAAACATTTGAAAAGAAAATAAATAAAATAGTTCTGATTGAGACTGTAAACTCCCAACATATGCAGTGCTTAAAAAATGACTATTCCTACATGTATGAACCGATGAAAAAGTAAGAAAATATCGAGTTAAATTTCTTTGATAATGCAAAGCCTAGTTAATAAAAGTATACATACATCTTTACTTTGGTTGATTGTATTTTAAGTGTATATACCACACACATAGACTAATTTCTGCAGGAAATATTTTGGTTTAATCAAAAGAGCAATAAATAAACCCTTACCTCTCTTAATCTTCAGCTAAGACAATTTTCAAAAAGAGACGCAAAAGATAATTTTAAAAAAAGAAATAGAGAAAAGTAAAAGTCTGCAAAAACTTCTGTTTCTCTTTATTTTATCAACATGAGTTTTTGGCAAAAATGGCATGTATCTGGTGATTCCTGATTGAATTCCCACCAGATCTTTCTATCAATGTCATATTGTTCATAGTGGTGAAAAGCGTTCTTGATGCAAAGAGTTTTTACAAGATCGATCTTGAAGAGAAACTATCTTACAATTTGACATGTTCCATTCATCAATGTGATTGGGATTTCTAAGAGGAGATAATTGCTCTTTCATCGATAATTGATCCCCTAGTATAGATTAAGATGCAGGATTCTCCAACATACAATGTATCTATTATAAGCTATAAAAAGATATTTTTGTTGAAACTCTTTCATTAAAATTTTAGGGTTGATACCCTGTAGTTTACCATAAAAAACCCCAAAAGTCATGATTAGAAGATTTAAATTCTGATTAAATATTTGATTAATACTGAGCATATAATTAAAAAAAAGATGCATTTAAAAACATGTATTTAATATAATCGTCTTGATTAAGATGGAACTAGAGAAATCTGAGCAAGTTCACAAAATTATACCCTCTCCACAAAAAACAATGGTTCTCTCTAACACAGTTGTGGAATAGACTTGGCTTATAGACCTTGAGTCAAGGTCTTAAAACAGCCTCAGCTCATGAAAAATCTTTGTGCCAAGAATAAGATTTCAATGTTACTTCATTACAAGATATGCCCTGGCAAGAATTATACACTTTTCTAAAAGTGACATCAAACTTTCCAAATGTCCTTCGTTCAAGAACAAAAAAAAAATCTTCAGCTCATGAGCAAAAATTATTTGTTCACAGAATCAATTTCAATATTTTTCCATTAGGAAATTATGGACCGGTCACGAATTTTACACCTTTTCAATCGCAACTTCTTCGTCCTTTCTGAGAAATGGAAAAACAACTTCGAATGTGTTATGCAGCGTCCATGACAATCCCCTTTTCATATACATTGAAATAGATGAAGGGTGATCTCTTATCTGTTGGGTGTGCATGGAGCTAAACTTCATTAAATGTAAAGATATTAACTTAAATATGCTACAGAAGGGACACTCCACTCTGTCTATCCAATACCTTAAGAAATAGGAAGTGATTCCATTTAATACATATTTTAACATCCGGTGATGTAAATTTTTTGACTTTGTCGGGAAGGCCTGAAAAGTTGCGATTCATACTTTTTCTGCTGGTGACTTTGAACTTGCTCAAATTATCTGGGTCAAGGTCCTGACAAACCATTATTTCATTTGTAATCTGTGTTTGGAGTATGAGTTTCCAAGTTTCCTTATAAGGAAGTCATGGCCTTGACACTTTCTAGCAGGTTCCTTACACTTGCTCAAATGACCTTATGTATAAATCAGGAGACACCCTCCCTTCTCAAGCAAGTAACCTAAACCAAATGTCCTTTTAGTTACGTCCTGATACACCCTCAGCTTAAAAGTAATCTTTAAGTAATCATTAGAAAGTAATGGTCAGGACATGAATTTGAAACTTTTTGGCATTGAACATGCCTAAATGACCTTGCGTCAACATCCCCTCATGTCAAAAGCAATCTTTGTTTCAAGTATGAGCTTTCAGTGTTTCTTTGTTAGAAAAGTAAAGTTTAGGTTTGTAGGTATAGTTATGGACGATTGCACAGACAGACGGACAAGGTGATTCCTGAATATCCCCAAGATTTGATGGGGGAATAAATGTAAACATACGCTGTAAACTCTTTTGTTAAATTGCTGAATAAAATTTTTCATATTCTTCTAGAAAAAATACAACAATTAATAAGCATAAATATAATTAAAATCAAAGTATAAATAATGTTTTTTTCAATGAATCTAGTGCAGATGACTATACTTCCGGTTTCATGCCCATCAACGCCATGGTGTACAATAACGGAGAAATATTCTGGTCTCCACCATCAAAACTAAGAAGTTCGTGCAAAGTTGATATCACATATTTTCCTTTCGATAAACAGAACTGCCAACTTAAATTCGGTTCATGGACGTACGATAAAGCCCAAGTGGACATCAGGGCCACCAACGGTTCTGTAGATGTTGTAGGCTATACTTCAAACGGAGAGTGGCTTCTGATTGGTCACTCTATTGAACGTCATGAGACCAAGTATCCAATCAGTAGTGAGATATACCCGGATGTAACAGTCTTGATTGTCATACAACGCAGGATACTTTATTATGTACTTAACATTATATTTCCCTGTTTCTGGTTGAATATTCTTAGCTGTCTCACTTTTTGGTTACCGTCTGATGCCGGGGAAAAAATAACACTAAATATAACTGTTCTCCTGTCGTACTCGGTATTCCTGTTGGTAGTCGCAGAGAGCATGCCCCAGACTTCAGAGTTTGTTCCCTTGATAGGTTTGTATTCATATCTTGAGAGGCAAATTATAAGTACCATTGATTGGCGTCTATGTTATGCGGATCTATTTAAGTTCTATTTGAAATATATATAAGAAATATTAAATTTTAGCATATATTTTCTGTATTATCTATGTTTTGAAATACTAATCGTTGAAAACTTTTATTGAAATTTTATATTCATTGCAATTATCGATTCATTTTTATCATTTGTTGTTTAAATACTTAGGTATATATCTAACAATTTCCATGTCAACATCATCAATTTGTGTGATTGTAACAGTGTTTATATTAAAACTTCATCATCCTGGGCCTCAACCACAAAAAGTTCCACGATGGATTAGAATATTTGTACTTGGATTTCTTTCAAATTTGCTCAAATGCACATGTTGTCGACGTCAGAAATATTCAAAACGGAGAAAAATCTTGCCTGGAGCCTTTTCCAGTCAAGATCTTACAGAGAGTTCATCGTTATTTATCCATACTAAACAGAATCAACAATCTGAGAAAAACGGAAGATCGTCACGCGCTAAGCTAAAACGCATGGAGGAAGAGAATGTTTTTGAAAACGGTTCATCGAGCCAACCACAAGTCAAACTGTCAAATGTAGAGGAACTCATGAGGAACCTGAGCTTTATAGTATCTCAATCAAACAAAGCTGAGATGGAGTATGAGATTATCGATGAATGGAAGCAAGTTGCTCAAGTTGCAGATCGCATTGCTTTTCTATGTTTCTTCTTTTTGACACTCTTTTCAGCTATTGTTGTTTTAGTTGTTGTACCAAGTTTTATTTATAATGAACAAGATGGAATCTGATCACAGAATAAGTAGTTGCTGCATTAAAAGGGTCAATTTTTGTTATTTTCAGAGACATTCAGTACTTTTAGCAAGCGTAGAGGTAAATACTTTACATATTTATCAGCCCTATTACAAAAATTATATTGGAAGGAAATGTTTGCTATGACTACCAGATTCCATCTCAAAGTGTCATTTCTGTAGGTTATGGAGATCACAGAACCTAAACCTCCAATCTCACAGTAAAAAAGTGGAAATGCATTTAATTAAAATGGAAATTTACGGTTATTTAAGAAATAATGTATCATTTTTAAACATCTATCGGGATATAAATATGGGTTGGTCACGAGATCAAATTCCATAAAGCCCGAAGGGCTTTATGGTAAATTTGATCTCGTACCAACCCGTATTTATATCCGATAGATGTTTAAAAATGATACATTATTACTTATATTTACATTTATGACTTTTTCATATTTTATATTTTCTTGATTATAATCTTTAACGCGTGAAATGTTTTATTTTTCAAACGCAACGGCACGTATTTGATCCATTGTTTGCGCGTCGTCCCTTTATGTCGTTACTTAGAAATTACGTCGAACGTTTATGACGCGAGGAACCCGTGTTTATACGGATATAGATACACGTTGCTTTCAATAGTGTTGTATAAGGGAAAACATTTGCAATTGTAAATATTTGATAATAAATATTCATAAAATTTTAGTTGTTAATTTTACCAATACCCACTTGTGAATTATGCATGGCATCGTGAACTAAAATCAAAAAGAATTTTCTGCAGAAATGAAATATGGAGATAACGCAGTACTAGTGTTAAAGCTCAAAGTCCATCCAAACAATACAAATCAGGAGCAGAGCAAACACGGACCTCTAAAACATCAGAGTTGGAATCACGTGCCATGAAGGAATGAGTATCCCCTACCAACCGGTCACATCCGTTATTTTTACTATAGATACATAGATACAATCTATCGGTTGAATGGTGACTAACGCCTTCCATGGATTATAAGGCCTTTATTTTCAGACTGAGTTGACTATACGGATTTTCCCGTTTACCCGATCTTGACAAGGAGCACACTGCGAGTGTGACCGGCAGGTGATGCTTACACCTCCATGGCACCTGATCACTACATAAAAATTTAATTTCTTAAATCTTTAAGACAATTCTTATAAATGTGTTTTGAGCAATGAAAGACCAATATTAGCTATAGATTATCTTATATGATTTTTTTGAGTATTTTTCAGAGAAAATAGCACTGTTTTATTTGTAAATAAATTGATTCAGAGTTCAAAATTTGCTGTGAATATGTGAATAATATAAATATCTAATAAAATATATCCAGAAGAGTCAGATAGTAATTTGAAATTTTTAAATAAAGAATTATACAAAAATATACATAATAAAATTCATAATAACTAAATGACTGTCTATCTGAGAATACATATACATGTAGTTTAATATTAGCAGTCTCGTTTAAAGTCATCATTTCGTAAGTTCTATGGTCGATACAATGACCTTGTCAGCAAACACAACAAATTCTGACTGACTTTTGTCATACTAATTGTTGGACCATTATTTACACACTGAATTGTCGACGGATTTTTCCGTTATTTTCCGATCATGACAAGGAACACACGGCGGGTGTGACTGGTCGGCAGGGGATGCTCACTCCTCTATGGCACCTGATCCCACCTCTGATGTTTTGGAGGTCCGTGTTTGCTCTGCTCCTATTTTGTATTGTTTAGTTGACTTTTGAGCTTGAATACTGTTCGTTATCTCCATATATTTCATTGTAAAACATGTTACACTCAGTAATGAAAATCAAATACATGTAGCTTCAACTGTTTATAAACCATATAACATCCAATAATGGAATAAAATAGTTTTACACGTTTTACACCCAATCGACCTTATATCTTTGAAAAATTTATATATATATATATTCATTTTTAGCTCACCTGATTGCCGAAGGCTCAAGTGAGCTTTTCTGATCAATGAGTGTTCAGCTTCCGTCTGTAGGGTGTCGTCTGTCCACGTCGTCTGCATACTTTTCACATTTTAGACTTCTTCTCAAGAACCACAGGTCCAATTTCAACCAAACTTGCAACAAAGCATCCTTGGGTGAAAGAAATTTAAGTTTATTCACATAAATGCTACGCCTCCCCCTCTTTCAAGGGGAGTTAATTAAAATATATAATAATTGGAAAATATGGAAGCATCTTTTGAAGGTTCTTCTCAAGAACCATAGGGCAAGAAAAGGTGAAATGTATGTGAAAACTTCATTACATACTCTAGATTCAAGTTTGTTCATATCATAACCACCGGGGGAACGACGGGGCCACAAGAGGGGGTCGAAGTTTTACATAGGAATATATAGGAAATGTCTTTAAAAATCTTTTCTCGAAAACAGCAAAACCATGATAAGTAATATTATAATAAAAGTATCCTCAGATAGTGTAGATTCCAGTTTGTTCCAATCATAACCCCTGAGGGTAGGACAGGGCCACAACAGGGTGTCAAAGTTTACCATAGGAATGTATAGGGAATATCTTCTTAAGAACAGCTATTATTAGTCATATTAATACAGAAATATCCCCAGGCAGTGTAGATTCAGTTATATATTTTGCATACATTAATAGCAAATTTTAATTCAAAAGCACCTTATTTGCAAATAAAACATTATTTTTTTTTTACACCCCCCCCTAAAAAAATAAAAATAATTAATAGTTTAACTTCGGTCTCTCCATGCTGAATTCGAAAACATACATTAAAAGGATGTCTTAAATATTCATTGAAAATTTGGCGTAGCATTCCTTATTAAGATTTCCTGAAAAATTTCCATTGAACTCTGAAGGAATTGTGAGACCGAAGGCAAGGAAGGGCTTCTTGAAGGATAATATCAACTGGTAAAAGATACAACCACTTAATTTTTCTGCCTGGTGTTTATATTATGATCATCAGGCAGAAAAGTATTATTATGATGCCTATAAACTTTATAGGCTTCATAATATAGCAAATTACAACGAAGATTAAGAATAATGAATCAATTAAACTTGTCTTGTTCTTTCTGTATAAATAGAATTAAGAATAGAAGTAAATAAATTGGGTTGTCGATGGTATGTGTTCTTTTAAATCACTTTAATATTCAGGTTGTTACATGTACTTACTCCATTATCATAATAAAAGGGCTCAAAAAGACCACAACCTATTTTTTTTTTTAGAGTGTTTCTTTTTCTAATTATGCTCTGAGTATCCTTTATAATTAGAAAAAAGATAAAGAATCAGTTTTAACTTCTCAAAGAATTGATAAAAACATAATTGACATATAACTACAGCTGGCGTAAGGAGCTCGAAAGTAGAAAGAGGGCACATGTCTCCAGTGGTATTACGTTTATCTCCATGTCTTTATCAAAGTCTCGTATTGAAATGAAAGAGTGCATATGAAAGAGTTATTTAATGCTCATTCTGATTCATGCTTTATCTGACTTGCATTTGAAGGTCAGCAACTCTTCTTAAAGACTAATCTCTAGATCGGATCCAAACTTAGCATTACTTGTTTGAGACATTATTGGAAAGTGGAATCTGGTAATATTGACATTGCGTCAATATATTTCTGGTAAAAAGGAGTTTTACCTTGTCCGCACATTATCAAAACTAGTGTGCAAGCCAAATTATCCATTCAATGCATATATAAATGGGAAAAGAAGGGGAAAACGGGGTTTTATCTATAGAGCTCGATATAGTTTGCATAAGAAATATGCCTTTAAGCAGATTCATTATTCCCTTTGAGGCTACATGTTTATTGTTTGCTTATCATCGCTCTGGAAACACAAACATACTGTAAAACAAATCGTCAAACAATTCAATTCTACATTTGCAAATGATGGATCATTTTTTAAGAATAAAAAAAAAATGCAGATATAATTATAAGTTAATATTAATTATTTAGCAATTAGTTACAGAGCATCTGATTAGTATCAGGAACATGCAGTTTAAACATTATAGCCAATTAAATATATACCTATTTACACAATGAAATATGGAGATAACGATAAGTATTCAAGCTCAAAGTCCATTTAAACAATACAAATGCAGAGCAGTGCAAACACAGACCTCAAAAAACATCAGAGATGGGATCAGGTGCCATGGAGGAGTGAGCATCCCCTGCCGACCGGTCACACCCGCCATGTGCTCCTTGTCATGATCGGGAAAAAAAGGAAAAAAATCCGTCGACAATTCAAAGTGTAAATAATGGCCAACAATAAGTATGAAAAACGTCAGTCAGCATTTGACTTATCGATAGATTGTTTTTGCTGACATAGTCATTGAATCAACCATAGAACATACGAAATGATGACTTTAAAAGGGACTGTTGATATTCTTGTTTCATCAACTTGTTTGTCAATAACTTACTTCGATTTAGAAATGTTCATACGTAGAGCATGCTCTTGCGTATCGAATAAACTGAGAGATATACACTCCATATGCAAGTGATAAAGGTATATTGCTGCATAAGTAAGGGAAGTTGACGATTGAAAAGTTAAAGTCATCATGTTTATCATAAATTAGATTACCATTAACGTCCTTTTTCTAGATTAAATATCCAATAATGAAACAGATGTGTCAGACTCTGTGGTATCTTTTATTTCAAGCTCACTGGGATATATCCTGTCGACATATGAATGGAAATAACTATATAATTATTGATTGATAATACGTCGTCGATATATCTAAATGTCGAGTTGAAGGCCACAGGAAGAGATTTCTTTTTCTCATGTATAAGATTATGAATTAATTCTGCTTCATATGAATACAAAAATAGGTCTGCAAACAGAGAGGCGCAATTGGTACCCATGGGAATTCCAACAGATTGTTGAAAGGATAAAAAAAAACTATAATTTCTGTTGATTAGGTATCCGAGGAAATCTTTTTGGATGTAGCAGTATTTCCTTTTTTCAAATGAAGTTCCACTGATAAATAATTCTGAAACTTTTTTATGCATTTGTCTATTCTATTGTTACTTCGGAAATTTTACCTGGAATGTATATACACAATGATATTGTAATTGAAAGATATGTTGTGGCAAGTTAAAATTTTCAAAAAAAAAAAAAATAAAAAATTAATCTGCCGGTAATTTTTTTTAAAAAAATTCACCCATATTCTAAAATATTAATAAAATACATATATCTGCTTACAGGTAAATACCGTTACGTCTCCTATCTTCATTTACAAATATTTTACACAGGAAAATACATATTGGGTTTCATTTTTTATTTTAGAAAGTTAAAAATAAATTTTCAAGCTAATAATACCCACGGAGAGAAGAAATGAACAGAATAAGGTCAGAGAAAACTGGCAAGAAAAGTAAATGAAAGAAGGCTAGGACTCTATTTCTTGCTTTCTGACTGCTAATAATTAAGTGAATAAATAAAGAGTAATTTTACGTAGTCGCTTTCCCCCTTAACAAAGAAATTCAAAACAGTGTTTAAATAAAATAAACATACCTATTAAGCTATTTAAAGCTAGAATTGTTCATTTATTGACGTAAACTGAACACATTGCTTAAAAATATTGAACACACAAAACAATATGGGTCATTTATTGTATTCAATAACAAAATCCCTGAAAAAGGTATTGTTTACCATGTTGAGTAAATTAAAATATGGAGGCATGAGAATCGAAGTATGCAATGTCATGATAGTGGTAAATTATTTACTGCAAACATAATTTCATTATACTGCATAAAATGACCTATCAGAATGAAAGAAAAAAGTCATTGCACCGTTTTTATTTTTTACTTAATCACTGCCGATGTTATGTACTGAGTAAACTTTGAAGAGAGAGGTCAGCGTACAAAATACAAATACACCTGATTCTTAGGGCGGCTGTACTAAACTGTAATAATGTGCTATTTTACTATATCAATCATATTTTATTTTGAATGAATATCTACAGAGATACAATATATTGCTTTTTTCTTTAATTTTCTTTGCGATTCTAAATATTTGACTAATTAGTGCATCTTCTGAATGGATTTTCACCACAAAGAAAAACAAGAGGACCAAGGGCCTTAACGGTCACCTGAGTACAATACAACAATTTAGAGGATCCATAAACTGATAAATAAAGCTTTGTTGCCCAACAGCAAGAAAAATAGTATGATGAGCATCAACAAAATAATTGGTATAGTATCTATCTGCTTCTCCTCCCCCCATTTATCACTATTCCCATGCAGACTATTAACAAAATGTCTATTATTTAACCCCATATTATTCCTTCTCACAATGGCCTCTCTTGGCCGTTGAAAAACATTTAAAAAGATAAGTTATTTTTGTCTCATTTTAATTCATCTATTATTTCCAAGTCATTGAAACTATAAAAGTACTTTTTTTATTATACAATAAATTTTCTTGCATAATTCTCTTATTCTATTAAGCTTTCAAATACATTATGTAAATTGATTAATTATCAAAGGTGAATGGCAAAGGGGAATAACTTTGCTCAGTAGAATACAAGTTAATAGAGACCTGGCCAGGACCAGAAAACTTGACTAAATGGTCCAGGTGTTCAAAATTCTGGAAAAAAACCCTTGCATATTAAAACTTTTACTCTGTTTGCCTTGAGCATCCAGAGAAGTATAGGCGATTTTCAAAGAAATGCATTTTCATCATATTATTAAATAAATAAAGTCCCATCCTTACACTAGAACATCTAACCCATTGGCCAAGAACTCACAATTCTGGAAGAAGCACCCTTTCTCATCATAACTATACACTTGTTTCCTTTAGTTTATAACCAGTAGTAGATAAAAAATTTTGAAAGAAATTATGCATTTTCACTATATACATGTAATCAATAGAGCTCCCCCCCCCCCACCAGAACCCCTGACCCAGGGGCCATGAATTTCACAATTTTGGAAGAGGCATTCTTCCTTATCATAACCATGCACTTCCTTTGTTTGAAAAATACCCAGGAGCAGAGAAGAAGATTTCGAAAGAATTCATGCCTTTTCCCTATATAATCAATAGAGCCCTACCCCCTTACACCAGAACCCCTGACCCTGGGGCCATGAAATTCACAATTTTAGAAGAGGCACTCTTGCTCATCATAACTATGTACTTAGTTACTTTATTTAATACCCAGGAGTAGAGAAGAAGATTTTCAAAGAAATAATGCACTTTCACTATATGATCTACATAGCCCCACCCTAGCACCAGAACTCCTGACCCTGGGGCCATGAATTTCACAATTTTGGTAGAGGGCTCAATGCTTATTACTATGATGCCAACAGTTTGACTGCTTGATGTCCAGGAGTAAAGAAGAAGATTTTTAAAGATTGCATTATTTTCAGTGGTTTTAGCCCCACCCCATGAAATTCACAATTTTTGTTCCCCTTCACCCATAGATGCTATATGCCAATTTGGTTGAAATTGGTTAAGCGGTTTCAGAGAAGAAGCTAAAAATGTTCAAATGTTAACACAAGACGCACGACGCACACCGCACGACGCACGCCGACGGACGAGAACAGATAGCAATAGGTCACCTGAGTGACTCAGGTGACCTAAAAACAATTCTCAGCATAACTCAGTATAACAATCTAGGTATAAAGGTTATATATTGATTTCTCTTTTTAATCAATTTAGTTCTTTCAAGTTCACTTCGTTAGTTTTTTTTTATTCAACAGAGACTGGGGAATCAAAACTGATTCTTATAGCCGGTATTCTCTTATCACGTTGACAGCTCTACTGAGAGAGAGAGAGAGAGAGAGAGAGAGAGCATAGTCATGCAGACCAAATCTCTCTTAAACTAAATCTATATTTACAATATGAAATAATTTTTTTCTTTGCAGCATGTAAATTTTCATGATGAATTATTTTTTTCCTAAACAATTAATTTGAATCGCATGAAATGCTGTTCATACCATTCGATCAATCTAAAGAACAAATTGGCGTAGACTAAAATTAAAAAATAATAATGAAATCTAAACTAATATGCATTTGCTTTTTAGTGAAGCTTATTTTTCCCCATTTCAAACGACTATGGGGCTGCATAGTTATTATCATCATGACTAAAAATTTATTTCAATAAATGCTTATATATTTTCCAAAGTTTGATGATTCATAAGGTATGAAACCAGTAAATACCAAGTCATAACCCCAACCCCCAATTATTCAATTTCGAGATAAAATGACAACTTCATCTTTTATTGACAGTATAGACCGTCACGGTAACTCAGTAGAGCGCTCGTTCCGTGATCGGAAGGTCATGGGTTCGAATCATGCGACTGACCTAAATCGATAAAAAAAAATACGTAGCAACTGTTCCTTCGCCAAGCGCTCGGCACTGAAGTGAGAGTTGTGGGTCCTTCGGATGAGACCTTCAAAACCGAGGCCCCTTCTCACGATAGGCGTTGGCATGATAAAGAACCCTCATGCTCAATGGCCCTGAGTGCCGAGTAAAGGCCTAAATTTGAAGCCCTTCACCGGTATATAGTGATGTCTCTTTATGAGTGAAAAGTTTTCGAATGGGACGTAAAGCAATATACAATCAATCAATCGACATAATAAAATACACAATAAAATAAACAAGATAGACCTTTTACAAAAAATAATAATTTTTTACTATGCAATGAGCTGTGTTTATAATAATGATGTAATGCTTATGCAGTAGAATATATTTGTAATTAAAGAAATTCCATCAAACTGAACAGATTCGAATTACCAACTTTTTAAACAAAAGGTTACACGTTTATCTTAAAAATTTTGTAAGTCAGAGTTTATCAGATATTTCAATGAAACCAGAAAGTGTGGAACAATAATAAAAACATGAAAGGAAACTGAGATACTGATCTTACCCATTCCTATGATCGATTGAAAATAAAATATTACAAAAATGAATTCTTCATTTTTTTATTGTGTACACATAAAATAACACAATGAGATACGAGAAAAATGTTATGCATTTCAAAAATCATTTAGTTTCTTTTCTCATATATCCAGGCAATAAAATATAAGTGAAGATGCCGAACAGCAATCATTCTCAAAAGTCCATTAAAACTTATAATAAAATAATGAGAAGAATCAACTCTGAAAAAAAGGTGTGATCGGGTGCCATAGAGGAGTAACATCCCCTGCCGACTGGTGACTCCCGCCATGTGCTGATTGTCATGATTAGATAAATAAAATTATTTAGATACTGTTTACTATCCTATCATTTTAGATATTGCAAGATTTCTTTTTTTTTTCTGAGGAGCAGGTGTGAAAAGGTGTTTTTATACTTATACTCACTAAGTCTTATACTGTGACACGAATACCAAGGATGGATACATATTACCTCCAACTTAAACTGTGACACAAACACCAAGGGTGGATACGCATTTCCATCAACTAGTACTGTGACATAAACACCAAGGCTCAATAGTTGAATCCACACTTTTCAAGAGTTATGTCCCTTATGTCTTAGGGGAAAACTCATAGAATCCCCACAGTAGCCTTTGTAGTTTTCTGGTGTAACCTTGTAATTTGACTGGAAAAATTCTGAACATCTTGTGCACAGGATAAGGCTACACAAACATCGAAAGAAAAAAATAAACAAAGTAATGAATCGGAGCCCATCCAAATGTTTGGTAGCATAAAGATCTTTCCTTTTTGATCCCGCCAAGCGACACAGCTTTTGCAAAGTGTGGATTGGACTATACACACCACTAGTACTGTGAAGCAAACAGCAAGGGTGATTACACACCACAAGTACTGTTGCACAAACATCAAAGTTGGATAGAAACTACCAGCCCTGTGACACCAAGGGTCGATATACATTACTACGTCCCACTAGAACTGTGACACAAACAACAAGTGTAGACACACTTTACGTCTTTAATTCAAACAAATTTTAGTAAGCAATTGACGTAATTTAGTAAGTAAACAAATCTTGAACGAATGAACATTGATGTTTTATTGAAACTAAAGCTTTGGGAGAAAATTTTCTCATATATCATGAGGGAAAAAGCGAAGAATTATATGTTTCAAATATATGATTAAATGTGTACACGGAGTTTGGATGCTTTCGAGCGTAACCCACTTGTAACGTGGATGAATTCGACGAAAATGTCTCTCCAAGTATAAATCAGTCACATAATTTACAGTTCTGTTAAATATTAAGCTGCGCTCTCCCAAGTGACCATGAGGAGGGTGATAATTAATGAAAATTATTTAACCAAATACGAACTCTCTGTTATTTCAAAAGTTAGAAAGAAAAGTTAAAGCGGAGACCAGAATGAGACAGAACAAAGAGACTTAGGCACAGGGAAAGATTCAAAGAGACCACAACTAGTCTCCAGAACTTTGATAACGGATAAAACAAAATCATTTTTGCTTGTTTGTCCTGAAACCTATTTTTCCTCCAAGAAGATTGTGATCGTAACAGATTTTGGTGTTTGAGAGTTTCTTTTGTAATGTATTGAGGATCAATCTCTCTAAGTAGGACTCTGATGCTCTGTGTGTATAGCCATCACGGACAGACCTACAGACTGTCACTAGCCTCACAGGGGACTTTGATATGTGCTGTAATGTATCTGTGAAGTTCTGAAGTCTTCCTCTTATCGTTTCCGGATTAAAATCAAACCCCTCTGTATTGGATTGCTTACTGTCACTCGCACATATTGTGAACTGTTTCTCTGGTAGTTCTTTGACACTCTGTCGCACGGTACTGAGACAAAATCCTGTTTCTTTTATAACATCTAGCTGGGGACTTGACAGAGTCACTATTGTTCGCACAAAACGTTTAAGAAAGAGATTTTTCTGGCCTGCTGTTACTGAACAAGTGTATGGAAGCCATTTGCTATCACGTGTGCGGAAATATTTCATTCCATATTCATAAAATTTTGTGAATCTGGTATTAAAAACGGAACTTTTTCTGTTTTTGTGAAACAGAACAAAATGTATAAATTCAGTGATTAGTTTATCAATAACAGTTTCCTCTGCTCCATTTTTTGGACAGAATAGACGAGATAAATTAGAATCTAGATCCTCTAGAACAAGTCGACTCACGTTGGCTTGGAAAAGAATTGTATTTGCATCCATAAAGTTTAAAAAGTCGACATCTATATCCAGAATTGTTTCTGCACTGAAAGGGAAAAAGTATGAATTGAAATGCTTATATAATGTATGCAGATGTATAAATAAATAGCAAATTGATAAGGGACTTTAAGAAAAGCTACTAAGGTACAAATATTAAAACCTATACAACTAATCACGAGTTAATTGTTCTTTCACATTTTCTGACATAGTATTATTTAACTGAAAATAATCATTGGAAATGATTCTTTCTATTAGAGTTGATAATTACAGATACAATCTACTAGCTTAAACTTTAATATCAAATAAAAACAGACACGGGGAGGTAAAGGTAACACATTGTTATACCTGGATTTCCCTCCGTCATACTTTCTTTTGAAATATTCAGCAGCCAGATCTTCACTAATTTCCACATATTTTACTGTGTGCTCCACGTCACAGTTCGTGTAATCTATGTTCACCACGCCACTCTCCATATCTGACACCGAGTTATGGAAACAAGTATTTTCACCGCTGTCAGAATCAAATATGCACATACAGATTTCCTGTTTATTTTTGTTATCCTTGACATTTGTCAAGCCAGCCTGTATAAAACTGAGGGAGTATTTCTCAAAATGACTCTTGTAGTCCCATTTTGGCCAAATCCAGATTACCTCCCTTATCAGACCAGTGAGTAAAGCTGCCTAGAAAAAAGTAATTTATCTGTATTTATGCACTTTGTGTAAAACTTTTCACTTAGCCTTTTGGGTCATGTACTGAGATTTCCTGTGTTCTTTCTTTTCTTTTAAATGGGGTGATTCATTTATCTGCATTTAAGACCGTCAGTTACTCTATGATAAAATTCTGATGTGACCATAGCAATAATATCTTAGTACCAAGATCTATTTTTTTGAAATAATTTAATTTTTAATCCATGTTTTGCAATAACGTTTCAAACATATTACTGGCTGTCATGAAACATTATAATATAATCTTAAATGCATCGTGCCAGCGCAGTGTATGTAAGGATTAGATGAATCAAGATGAAAATGCAGTAAAATGTAGCACGAATGAAATACATATTTGAAGATTAAGAACAGTAATCGAGCTCAAAAGTCCACTGAAACAGTACAAATTGTGAGCAGAGCTCAGTGTAGAGTGTCGAAGTTAAAGAAATTCAGAGTTCGTTAACAATACTCCAAAACAGGTCGGTTAAGAATATAGAACCTAAATGTCTTTATATATAATATACGACAATGTTATAGTAAGGTTTCAAACAATATTACAATGAGTAACATCAAATGTAGGAAGGAAATTCGCATTAAGATTGGTAAAGTGGTAAGGAATAGATGAAAGTAGATAAGAGCTTAGAAATGGATTGCATTATCCTGGGATATATATATATATATATATATATATATATATATATATATATATATATATATATATATATATATATATATATATATATATATATATATATATATATATATATATATATATATATATATATATATATATATATATATATATATATATATATATTATGTAGAGAGAAATTAATGATAAACACTTAGGAAAACGAATCATCCATTAAATATATTTTCTTAATTTAATGTCTATTTTTGAAATTGATATATGCAATGTGTAAATATTGAATCCATTACTTATCCATAAAACAGGGGTTTCATGTAAAAGGAACTCTTATGTGACTGAAGTTTTGTGCATTAAAAGTGTTCATGTGGAAAAAAAAGATTTATTCTCATCCACATTACAAGATAAGCTGATGCAAAATCCATATTAAGTGACCATATGTTACCTAAAAATCGATATTACCTTACCATTACATACTGATCATTGGACTGCAAAAGGTACTTAATCATTTCCAGCGTCGGTATTTGATTCAAAGGATATCCTTCCAATAGAAATGGTGCGGCTAAACTGGAATGTTTGTCAAAACGGATCTGGAATTGAAATAAAAAACATAAAAATTCACATTTAAAAAAAATATTTTCTTATACATAATTGCTGAATTATTTAAAAAGTGGAATCACCGTAAATTTTACCAGAGTTATGTCCCTTTTGGGAATTGTTCCCTCTGTGACTGCTTTAATCCAATAAAATAACACTACAACCGAAAAATAGTACAACAATAAAATAGTACAACAACAGTAAAAAAGTACTACAAGTAAAGCAAATTCTTCGTGAAATATACAGAGGAAAGCACAACGTATTAGAGAACTAAACAGTGTTCCGCTTTGATGGTTTTGATAAATTACTCTTTTCATTAAAAAATAATTTTTACACTTTTATGGTCTTATACATTAAACCAGATGTGCAAAAATGCATAATGTGCGTTGCGAATATTTTTAATCCTTCTAATTAACAAAATATATTGTATTATAAATGCTGGTTTGAATTGAATTAATCTAAACATACAGGTTTTTTTCTCTTACCTTTCTGACGCTCGTCTACAATGGTAATGTTTATCGTTAGTTGTTTTGTTCCTGCGGTTCTAAGTTTCTTCTGTAAAATAGGCTTCATATTTCCAGCACTCAATGGTAAAATATCACGGCTACTTTTATGATTTGGAATTGACTGCACAAGTGCCTTCCTGGAAGGTGTTACAAATGTATTTCTGTCAATCTCCGATAGGTCAACAACAGATAATAGGCAACAAATAAATCCTAACCAAATTATTGAAAATCCCAGGTATATAACTACCACTTTTGAATATTTCTTCATCGTTTTCAGTGAAAACCTGACGAAAAATGTGCAATGAAGTGACAGAGCATTATCGGAAGCTGTGACGAGAAGACCGACTAAGAAAAGGTGGCTTGAGAGGGAATTAGTTCACTCAAGCTTTACTTTACATGATGTCATATATAACCTTTGTAAATGGTATTTACCATTACAACCATTAATATTTAGAAGTGAATGACAAAGTGTGGAAACAATTATGTTTGGCATTTTTAAAAGAAAAAGGCTGTGAAATTAGGGCATGGTTTAAATTTTCATTCAAATTTATGAATTTAGATATTAAAATGAAGAAAACTCATTATTTTATTTATCTTGTGATACTATTGAGATCAGGTACATATGCATGTATAATGTCCCAATTAAAGAAAAAAATCTTTAATGGAATTTACTTTTGCACCCAAAAAATTAGTAAATAAATAAATTGAGAAAATAAAATAAATTAATAACAATAAAAAAATAATAATAATTTTATGAACCTATGCTAAAGACGCGTATTGTTATGCAGAAAAATGAGAAATGTTTTTTTTCCTAGAAATAATCAAGAACAAGTCTGAGATAAACAAATTTAATAATTAACGATACAAATATGTGAATTTAGATTGAAGAGGTAAAAGGCTTGTTCTGTTTTGAACACATTTTATTGAATATTATATAAGTACTAACAATTTACTGGCTCCTCTCCTTAAATAGAACAATATATCATATAAAATAATACAAAAAGCTCTGAATTTAACCAGAAGTACAAGTAGACATTTGTTAGATAGCAATATTTTATCTACAGGTTCTATCAATAAATTTATGGACAGTAGCAAAAACTAATTATTAATTATTGATCAGTAAAAGCAAACTTACATCATCCAATAATAATAATTTTGTAAGAATAGTGCCAATTCATCAATAAAAAACAGGCAGTTAAAAAGTTATTCCAAGAATTAGGATAATTTTTACAAGCAAAAAAGAATTGATATATATCTTCGAATTTACCTCATGAAAAGGAACATAATGGACTATTGATAATATAACGTTTATGTGTCTGAATTTGATATGGAACTTTAAGAAAATTTGAAATCACAAAATTTTAACAAAAGCAATCACATCAAAACGTACGAATTTTCAACATTTTATACAACTATTCTCCACCATAAATAAAAGTCCAGGTGTTTTGACACCATAGACAGCTGCTTTTTCAATAAAAATGGAAGTCATAAATATACTTACCTTGTCATTGGTCATTTGCAAAACTATTTTGTTAAAAAGCATTCTGATTGTACACACAAGTACTCTGAAATTTATAATAAAAAGATGCTTGGGTTTCTGATTTACAATATCTTTGTAGGTTTTGGAGATCAGATCTCCCAACTAACTGTTGGAATTTCCATGGGTACCAATTGCGCCCCCTTGTTAGCAGACCTATTTCTATATTCATATGAAGCAGAATTTATTCATAAACTTCTACATGATAGGAAGAAAACACTTGCTGTGGCCTTCAACTGGACATTTAGAACTATCGACGACGTATTATCAATTTACAATAGTTACTTCCATTTATATGTTGACTTGATATATCCCAGTGAGCTTGAAATAAAAGATACCACAGAGTCTGACACATCTGTTTCATATTTAGATATTTTACTAGAAAAAGACTTCATGTTATCTAAAGAACAAAGATATATGATAAATGTGATGACTTCAATTTTTCAGCTTCCCTTACTTGTGTAGAAATATACCCTTATCACCTGCATATGGGGTTTTTGTCTCTCACTTGATTCGATACTCAAGAGCATGTTTTACGTATGAACGGATTCTAAAACGAGGCAAACTATTGACAAACAAGTTGATGAAACAAGAATATCAACAGTCTCGTTTAAAATCATCATTTCGAAAGTTTTATGCAAATACAATCTATCATTAAGTCATATGCTGACTGACGTATTTCATAATAATTGTTAGGCCATTATATACACACTGAATTGTCTACGGATTTTTCCGTTTTTTTTCCCCATTCATGACAAGGAGTACACGGCGGGTATGACCTGTCGGGTGGAGATACTCACTCCTCCATTGCACCTGATCCCACCTCTGATGTTTTTGGAGGTCCGTGTTTGCTCTGCTCCCGATCTGTATTGTCTAAATGGAGCTTGAATGCTGTTCATTATATCCGTTTTCCAAATGAAAATTACGTTAGGGGATTTCTGACCTTTGTAATGAAGATCTTACGAAATGAACTTAATGAGAAGGCTTTTCTCGTCTATACTGTAATTTTGCTTTTCGGGACAATGAACTGTTCTTTAATTTTGAAACAGTTTCATGTTTGATTCAATTATTTGTGGTCACCCGCGTGGTACAGTGGTAAGAGCATCTGCTCTAGAGTCGCGGAGTAAGGGGTTGATCCTTACGTCGCTGGTTCGAATCCCACTGTGAGACGTGGAGACCGGTTCTTCGGATGAGTCTGTATAAACCGAGGTCCTGTGTCGCAGAAGGTGCTGGCACGAAAAAGATCCCTCACTTCTCAATGTCCCTGAGTGCCGAGCATAGGTCAAAATTTGCAGCTCTCCACCGGCAAGTGGTGGCGTCTCCATAAGAGTGGAAAATTCTCGAGAGGGTCGAACACAAACAAACAATTATTTGTGGACACCCCCACTGTGAATTTTTTAGGCACAAAAATAGAAGACCTGTGACAATTCTAAAGGCAGATAAATGTACTTTTTAAAAAGCTTTTTTCAGTATCCTAGTAAGAGCAGCCATTCCAAACAATTAAAGCGTATTGAAGCGGAGTCTGATAAATGTAGAATACAAGTTTGAAAGGTTATATTCCTTCCAAATTTAAATTCAGTTTTTTTTAGAATATAAGCTTTTCGTTAGCATTATTTACACTGCCATCAATATATTCAGTCCAGCTTAGATTTTGCGACAATAATAGACCCAAGTGACAATGAAATGGATAACACTCATGTTTGTTGCCCTAACAATGGTTAGGGCACTACAAAACTAGTTTTGTTTTGGAAGGGTTGAAATTTTAGAAGCCACTTATTTGACCACAATTCCAAAATACGTAAATCATGTTTTAACTTAAATTCAGCAAACAAAAGGTAAAGAAAACGAACAATAATCAATTTCATAAAATCAGTAAACAAAGCAAATCGTGAACAGGGTAAAACACAGATCCCTGGATATACCAGAGATGGGATCAGGTGCCTATGAGGAGTAAGCATCCCCTGTCGACCGATCAAACCCTCTGTTAGCCATACGAACTGATCAAGAGTACTCCGCTGGCAAATTTAGTATAAAAGCAATGATCTGACAAATGGTATGAAATATGTGAGACAAAATACGACCCAATGATAGGTTGTATTTAAAAACAAGTCATTATAACGATCGTAGAATTTGGACAAAGCTGACTTTAAACAGGGTTGTTGAAATCCTTGTAACATCAATTAATTTTACAGTAGCTTATCTAAGTTTAAAAGTCGATCGTATTCAGAGCATACTCTTGCGTATCGAATCGATTGGTGGACATAAACACCGTATGTTGATGAAGATGGTATATTGATACATATATAGAAGAAGTTGACGATTGAAAACCTGAAGGTATCCTGTTTGTCATACAGTTCTGTTATTAGTTCATTGTCTAAAGTCAGTAAAACATCTAAATAAAAACAGATGTGGCAGACTCTGTAGTGTCTATTATTTCGGGTTCCCTGGGATATACATGCATCGAGTCGACACATGAATGAAGGTAACTATTGTTAATTGTTAAAACGTCAATATATCTAAATATTGAGTTGAAGGCCACAGCAAGAGTTTTCTTCTACTCGCGAGAAAGTTTTTGAAAAAAAAGTTTGCATCACAAAAATAAAAAAAAAAACAGGTCGGCTAATAAAGGAGCACAATAGTTCCCTTTAGAATTCCAAGAGAATGTTGGAAAACGAGGGCGTCTAAGATCATATAGATATTGTCTGTAAGGAACTCTAGATTATTTACCAAAGTAATTTTGTAGATGATAAATATTTAAAACATGAGGATTGTTGGAGCAAATTGTCACCAACAAACAATCTGCACATTGATACACCATTTCAGCAAAATAATTTACAGAGAACCCAAGAATTCGCCTGTGTATATGTCTATTTTAATGATAACAGATCCTTATACACCACATTTTGTTACCTACGATAACTAAAAAACCACTGGAAAAGATATACCATAAATTTGTAATTTAAAAATGCGAATTTTGTGTCATACTCTGTAAAATCCGTTATCTCCACATATTTCATTAGAAAGATCACAGAAAACAATGTAAATAGAATTTGACTTGAACAATACTATAATATGTATTTAACAATTGATACACGGTATCTAGAATGACCGGATAGGAAACTTGCTTGATATCGATAAAACAAATGATTACCATGAAAAGAATTGTAAATATGTTTAATATGACTCTCTCCATAATTTTAATAACACACGATAATAACGACACATGTCTTTAATAAGAACGAAAGAGGGGTCATCCTTTTTAAAAAGAGAAATAACATGAGCTATTTTCCAAAAAGAAAAAGGTGAAAATGTTTTTTCTGATAAGTACCTATTAAATAACAAAGTTGTTTAACAACTGTATAAAGAGTAGATTTTGAAAATTTATGACTAACACAGTCAGATTCTATGGCCTTGTTCACTGGAAATATTGAAATAATGTCTTCTACTTCCTGTTCATCAATATTTAATATTACATACATACGTATGTTATTACAGATGATAATGTTACAAAGTGTGTCACCACAGGGATTATACATATTTGGCAGCGTTTCATTTGAGTGTTCCATTCAAGAATTGAAATAGATGAACGATATGACTTTAATGCTTCAGTCTAAATTTGAATACAGCAGATTTCTTATTTCTTTATCATTATATATTTGTATTACTGGTATTTCGTTCGATAGTTTTACATTGAGTGAATCATTTAAAAGGCTTGACAAAATAAAATCATGAGTAGCCAATTTCTTGAACATTTAAAATAAGTATACATTTGTCGTGATCACATAGATTACAACTACTGTAATGCATGATCTACTGTTCATAAAGATTTTGATACAAAATTAATTTATTAATTTATTAATATGGAAACGCGTAAGTTTACATAAATAACGACGATTCGCCAGAAGAATATATTCCAGTGAGTGATGTGAATCATATTTACCGTTTTAACAAAATCAATAGTCATATGTTTGAACAATTACTACAAAATATAAGTAAAACAGTAAGACGTACATATAGAACAGACCATGAAGTTAATAATTTTTATCTTAGTTTTCATTTTTATGATTTTCAGGAAAGATATGATATAAAATTACATCGAATTTATCTTTCCTGCGGAAAAGAAACATGTCCATGTGTATAGGACATCCACTTGTAATTATTACGGTTTGGACTTTAACCTCTTGCAATAAAAGGTACTCGGCATGGAAACGTTAAATTACTTTACTGCACAGTTTTCAACAATAAGTTGATTGTAAATTGGATTTGTGAAATAATCTTCGAACTTTGAACTTATATATTTTCCTGTCATCAATTGCATTGATTCTTGCTCGGTTTTTCTTTTTTAAAACACGCACACACCCTCACACACACACACAATAAGAAATGTGTTGATTTGTTGAAATGTATTGGAGGAACATATTACCTTCATGAACAGAAATTTGGATAACAAAATTTGACCCTGCACCATTTTGAGTCGTGGTTTGGAATAGCCGTGACATTGTGAAACAAAGATGTAATAATTAAGAACAAAAAAAAAAGAGAAGATTTATAGGTTTAATACACTATCTATGTTTCAGGAATGAAAGTATTATTACAGGGTGGGTCCATTGAAGTAGATCTTCAATCTTTCAGATTATAAGCACAAAATCATGCAGATGCAGCTATATGTAATGTAAAGACATTTGTTATCACATTGCCACGCCATCTATTTAAATTTTAAAAATTATAAAGCACTCTCTATTGCCTGTTTTCTCTCATTAAGATATAGAGCCCATAATTACACAATTGATTTTTTCGCTCTCTAATAATAATGCTTTTGTCTAAATGCTACACACTTTTTTGGAGTATGCATAAAGTAAAATCTGACAAACCTTGGACGCTGACACATGACCTTTTGTTTAAAAATTAAACACGAATTTGTTACGCTTTATGGTATTTCTTTAATATCAGATGTGTTTTGATGCATAAATTCTACTCATGTACGATGCATGCATTTGAAATGTTTTCAGTAACGGTATGTCTTATTAATTCTATCTACAATTTAAACTCGGAGATAATCTTTCTTATTACAAAATTCATTTAAAGAAAAAAGATAAGTTGGAATCTTTACCCTCCACATCAATTAGGTTTGTTTGGACAACATACATGTAGCTATGGGATTACGTAAGTAAAAAGAAATACATAAAAAGATGAAAAGTTTTATATGGGTAAGGATAACCATATAACTCTATGCATTTATATAAAAAAGCAGGTTTTTGAAAGTAATTAAAACTTTTTGAAGCTATATTTATATTCCAAATCCCTCTACCATTTCGTCTCTTTTTTTCATTCTATGTTTTGTTATTGGAAAACTTTGAATAATCAATAAATGAAAAGTATGTGGTTTAAATGGGTATTTACCTCAAATTAATTCGATAATATCAAGAGAGAGGTGGAGAGAGAAGAGAGATTGTTTGTTGCACGACTCGTTATTTAATGACTTAGTAATTTGAGCAGTCAGAAATCAAGAAATGGATTTTTGGAGAAGATGGTACTATTTTCCTATTCTAACATTTTTCGTTGCTTTTCAAATTTGTCTTCTCATTCGTTTCGTTTTCCGTAAGTATTATGATTTTCTTAGAACGATAAATTAAAAGATCAATTATTCTAGTAATTTTTTCAGTGAACATAATTATAATAGTTAATGTACATTAGAAAAGGTTAGTTAAAATGATAATTATATGAAATTTCAGCCTCTTATACATTTTGACAAATATATATATTATATTAATCAGCAACTTGAATTTTTCTTATTTACGTTGGTTTAAGGACATACGCAACGTAGTTTGAACTTTACTGTCTTTTTCCCTGGAGTTGAAGAGTTCCAATTCTTAAAGGAACTGTGTGCTACATTTTAATGTCTATATATGCTGCTGTACACTTCTTCTAAAACAAGTTTGGATAAATAAAACATCTAGAATATATGTTTAGTATTTTTTGTATATTTTTCTTTTAATTATACAAGAATTTTCATCAATTGATATCTTTTCAAAACCCCTGGTGATACATGCTGACTTTTTGTCTACGAACATCTGATGGCAATATAATCTTAAATTAAGAATATCTCGAAAAATTATCAGTAGGTAAGGTACGTTGCGTATGTCCTTAAATAAGTCAATTATATATGCTTGATAGATTTTATTCTCTGAATGCATCTTTTCTTATATATAGTATCAACAAATGATTTTAAAGGAGAGTCCTCGATAAATGGTACAGGTTCAATAGAAAAGAACCATGAGCTGGAAGTTTACGGAGGAAACAATTCTATTATTAAATGGGTAAAAGTAAACATTTAAGACTGTGGACAAAGTAGGTCAGATGGTAGGAAATACACTTAGAAATTCACTGGATATTCATATGGAGAGTATACGGAAAAGAACGAATAATTGTGTACTATGCAGATCTTTAATTACACATACAAATATTACATATAAATTGTTTGAAAAGTTTTTTTTTCAGATATCTAAATTTTAGAGACTAAATATTAAGATGTGGGAAATATAGCATTGGAGAGAGAGAGAGAGAGAGAGAGAGAGAGAGAATGGCACCTTAATTTTTAAAAGCAATTTATCGTCCTATTACATGTATATAGTTAAACATTATTTTTTGGAAATTATTTATCCTTTTCATGTCATTATAATTTCAAATTAAAGTAACTAGAATTTTGCTTCTAAAGCAATAGAGTTTTAACGTTATGAATGTTTAAGCTTTGAGTTGCATAAACGCCCTAAAACCAAACTAGAGCTCTAGAGTTTGCTCACATCATCTTATAAAGATCAAGCTGGTTAGAAAATCTTCTACAATGCACTGATAAGCTTTTTAAAGATGCTATATAATTTCAATTAAATTACACAGTTGTAGATATAGATACATGTCTATATATTACCCTTATCATTGCTTCACTTTCTTTACAAATAAATAATTTTGACATTCAATAAATGGCGATTTTTTGTTTATTGAAGGATAAGATAGAATTTCTCAAGATAGCCAGAACACAACATACAATAGAAATATCAGATAGGTGTCGGAATATAAGTCCAAGTAAGTAAACTAATCCTTATAACATGCCAATAATCAAATGCAACTTATTTGGGAGGGCTTAACCATTATCTTTACAAAATCTTTTATTTACGATAATACATCTTTTTACATTCTCAGACTTTTCAAAGGAATTTCATGTAAATGTTTATTTATATCAATTTAATATAATGCAATAAAAACTTTGAAAAATGAAATAGGAAAATAACGAACAAACGGTTTTTAGGTGTTTTACCCTTCATTGAAAATTACTTTTAAAAAAGACATTTTCCAGCAACAAAGTGGTAATCTATCTTAATCTGTTTTTTGTGGATATGTCAGGATTCCTTACAATCGGAATACCCACAGTTTGTAGAAAGAAGCAACAGTACATCCTAAATACACTAGACTCTGTGATCAGTGGTCTCTCTAGAGGACAGAGACAAGAAGTGTTCATTGTCATCTACTTAGCAGATCGAAATGAGGCATGCAGGCAAAATACAGAGATGGAAATAAGACTTAAATATCCAAACTTTGTACGAACATGTTTCATTAGATTTTTACGCCCACCCAACGTTTCGGTATTCTACCCTCCTCTCATAAATAAGCCCGAAACTGATTGTGACAAAAAACTAATTTGGAGATCGAAACAAAATTTAGATTTTGGTTTCTTACTTATCCAGAGCCAGAATTTATCCTCTTATTACCTTCAGTTAGAAGACGATGTAATAGCAGTCTCTAAGTTCTATGGCGTTATTAAAAATACTATCGATCAGAGAGTCACTCATTGGGTATGCATGGAGTTCAATGAATTAGGATTTATAGGCAAGCTGTTTCGATCACGTGATTTAATGTCCTTGGCAACGATGATTGTAGAGTGGTACGAGCACACACCAGCTGATGACACATACATTGAATTCTATAAAAGACAAAAACAAAAATCAAGGATTCTTATTCAACCAACACTTTTTCAACACATTGGTATACACTCATCTCTAGAAGGCAGAATTCAAAAGCTCAAAGATCCTTATTTCGAAGGTGATACTGAGAGCAGAGTATCTGCAATTAGAAACCCTTCAGCAAGTATAACCACGTCTATGAAAATTGATTTTCAACACCTTCCTAGGGATTGCTATGAAGGATCTAGAGGATTCTTTTTAACATCCGAGCCAGTCGTAGCAGGAGACACATTCTATGTTTTATTCTTATCACTACAGAATGTATCAAGGATATTTGTACAAACGGGACTTGCTCTTGGAAAAGGACATTTTCTGCGGGAAGGGGTGTTAGAATTAGGTGGAGACTTTGAATGCACAAAAAGAATGTTCACAGTCATTTATCAGTTCAATATGGGAGTGATTGACGCTGTTGTCAACAAAAACAATGTGCGCTGTATTCAGATAAGGGTAATAACCAGTCAAAACAATTTACTCATGATTAAGGAAATTTCCATATTTTCTGTATGAGATCCATGATCGATTTTCTTTTCCAGATTTTTTTTTATATATAAAGACTTATAATTACCTATATTTATTAGGAATACAAAAATGTACGAGTTCTCTATGAATTCTAAGCTCAATTTAAAGGTGATGATTTATATGTATAAGAAAGGAAATATATATTCACCATAGAATAGGTTCAAGAGCACATGACTCGTACAGCGATTATTCTTTGCTTAATTAAAGACATGCACGCAAACTATTTTTTTTTTTAATAGCTTTCTTATACATCTTCCTCTTGTATTAAACTATAAACAAAACTTCAAATTGTTTTGTTTTCTTTATAGTAGAAGAACATGAATGAAAATAAAAACTTCCTTGCATTACATAAAAATATATCATATGAATAAAAATAGCATTTAATCTTCCTCTTAAACGTTCGTCAAAGTACAGGACACGGCATAGTGGGGGAATGTCACCCCCATATAAATCGCCAATTCGAAATTCTACTCTTCAAATAAAAACTGAGACCATTCCTCATATTAGAAATATCTGTCCAAAACTTATCTAACGTACATGTACGGAAGTTTACTAAATGCAAGTGCCACCTAGGCACCTGATTCCATCTGGTAATTGCCCTGTCCAAGATTCAAAATGTTTACGGGATTTATGATCTTCACTTTTTCCATTAAATATGACGGGGAAAAATATTATCTGTTGTTTGTTCAGTTTCAATCACCTTCTAATCATGAGCAAAAATAACATTACGTAAAGACATGAGAATACTTATATAATTTGTTAGGAAAAAATAATTATATAATCTTAATAATGATTATTTTCTTTAGTTTTCGATGCTGAAGTACTGTTAGGGTTTTCGTTTTGTAGAGCGACACCAGAACATCAATTTACTCAATTTTCTAAAATAGCACTGCAAGAGATGAAACTTGTGCATAAAACATTTTTTATTTATATTTGTGGACTATTAACACTCAGTTTATATTTCAAAGTAAAAAGACAAACGTTGGACTCATATTAGGCACAAGATTTGGTGTAAATTCTCTAAGCATAGCTAAGGGCAATTACTGGGACTTCAAATCAGTTTTTTCCCAAAAGAACGACTACACAAAGAGAATTCAAATAATAATTTAATTAACATTTGATGACTTAATATTTTCCCATCTGGCACTCATTTAATTATCAGCCTTAAAAAAATAATTGATTGCTCATATTTTATCATATTTATTGCCCATTTTAATTTATTTAAAACTACAGTCTTCTGTGGAACATTTCCAGAGAAATGAACTTGATCATCGATTAACACAATGTATTTGCTTTTGTCGAGTTTAAATAGCTTTCAAATTTATTTAAAAGTATTATATAGTGGTGATAAAAAAAAACCTTGGTTATAAAAGGCGATACTACGTATAAAGGCATTGGAAGGTAAATAAAACTGATAGCACTTCATTTGGGAGGTGATATAAGAAAGTGCACAGTATGACAATCGGAAAAGGGGTCATCTTTTGAATTGATATAAATACAGTATTATATCCTTATATCCGCATAATATAGCAATCAAAGGAACACCAAAATCAGCGACTTCTAGATATATGATCAATGTTCCTGTAAAATTCAGCATGTATAAAAAGTGTAAATAAAAAAAATATATCTAAATAGTTACTACGGCTTGTATTTCAGACTCCAACTTAATTAGAAGCAATTACATTAAATATATACGAACAGAGAATATCATTTTTCATTCTTTAAATTTGGTTTGTTAGTATTTGAATTTTTTAAGAATGTATCGTCTTGAATCTAACCTACTTATCTAAAAAGAGTTATTTCTCTTTGCATACTCGAATAAAATAAAAGTGTCTGTTCTTAACAAGGTTCTATAAAAAAGGGATAATTAGCAATTGGACGTTACCTTTTCAAAAAAGTAAAATAAAAATAGATAAATAAAATTCTATATGAATACAACAATACCGATGTAGTTTAAGTATTCTAGATAAAAGAAAATTGTAAAGTCATGATTTCAATCTAGATTAATTTGACATTTTAACTTTTTCTATATGACTTTACTGTATAATCATAAATAGATTATAAAGGTATTCAAATTTATCGGTCAGTAATTTACGTTTTAATGAGAATGTCGTCTTTTCCAACCTCTCAAGCTTTAAAACATCCTTAATTCGTCTCTACATCAATATCCGATATTATTGTATGTTTGAAGTTCCCAAGGAATTTGGAGTACAAATAAATGACTTTTAAAAATGTTATTTTTTGGTGAGGATCAATGTCATTCCAAAGATAGTGTGAAATATTTCTAAAAAAAAGGAAAGATGTTGCTGTTTCCTCGGATAGGTATTTATCAGCAGGGCCCAAAATGATAGAAGGTTTATTGTAATGCCCCAAACCCTACATAAGTTGTTTTTGGTACGATTTCGCTGTCAATTTCATGAGGTGTGTATGAAATGTAAGAATAACGAACCTATCTGTAATGGCCTAGCAATTTGTTTTAATAATGTCGGTTAACATTAAACCTGACGACAGGTTGTATTTATGAACAGGATCATTTTAATGACCATAGAATTCGCGACGATATTAATACTTCAATTTTTTTTTCAGTAGCCTGCCCCGTACAAAAGTGTAAAGGTCTGCAATTGTGTTATTATAACTTATACATTATCTGTTTTTTGTTGTCTTATTAACATATCAAGTGTTATAATTTATACGCCTATTTGTATTGTATCTAGGTGGTACATATAAAAAGTTATAATTCTTTATATGAAAATAGAACAATAAAATATGACAATGTACGAGTTTAAATAAGAAATAATGTATCATTTTTAAACATCTATCGGGATATAAATACGGGTTGGTCACGAGATCAAATTCCATAAAGCCCGAAGGGCTTTATGGTAAATTTGATCTCGTACCAACCCGTATTTATATCCCGATAGATGTTTAAAAATGATACATTTTTATTTATATTTACATTTATGACTTATTTATAGTTTATTTTTTCCTGATTATAATCTTTAGCGTGTGAAATGTTTTATTTTTCAAACTCAACGGCACGTATTTGATCCATTGATTGAGCGTCAACCCTTTATGACGTCACTGAGAAATTACGTCAAACGTTTATGACGCGAGGAACCCGTGTTTATACGGATATAGATACGCGTTGCTTTTAATAGTGTTATATAAAAGAAAACATTTGCAAATGTAAATATGAGTGCATTGACATTTATACTTGGTTTACATATTTTTTGTACGCAGAACATGCTCTTATTATAGATGAATTATGAAGAAAACGAACAGTTATCAAGCTCAAACGTTCATTGGAACAATACGAATTGGGAGCAGAGCAAATACGGATCCCTACGCACATCAGAGATGGGATCAGGTGCCATGGAATAATAATCATCACCTGTTGACCGATCACACATGATCAGACAAACGGAGAAAAAAACCCGTACACAATTCAGTGTGAAAATAATAACCTAACTATTTGTATGAAAAACGTCAGTCAACATTTGACTTAACGATTGATTGTATTTGATAACAAGGTCATTGTATCGACCATAGAGACCGTTCACGGTAGCTCAGTCGGTAGAGCGCTCGCTCCGTGATCGGGAGATCGTGAGTTCGAATCTCTGCCGCGACTGACCTTAGTCGATAAAAATTGGTAGCAACTGTTCCTTCGCCATGCGCTCGGCACTTTGAAGTGAAAGTTGCGGGTCCTTCGGATGAAACCTTAAAAACCGAGGCCCCGTATCACGGCAGGCATTGGCACGATAAAGATCCCTCACTGCTCAATGGCCTGAGTGCCGAGAAAAGGTAAAAAATTTACCGGTATATGGTGACGTCTCTATATGAGTTAAAAATTATCGAATGGGACGTAAAACAACATACAATCAATCATTCAATCGACCATAGAAATTTTTAAGCTTTAAACGAGACTTTTGATGTTCTTGTATCATCAACTTATTTGTCAATTAGGAGCTTGCGTCGTTTTAGAAATTGTTCGTATGAAGAACATGATCTTGCGTAACGAATCAACTGGGAGACATAAGCTGCATATGCAGGTGATAAAGGGAAGTTGACGAGAGAAAAGATGAAGTCATCACGTTTTTTTAAATATGTTGTTTTTAGTTTGTCACTAATTACTTTGTAGGAAAATATCCAACTATGAAAGAAATGTGTTAAACTCTGTTGTGTCTTTTATATCAAGCTCAAAGGGATATATCTAATCAATATAGGAAAGAAATTGAATATTGTTAATTGATAAAACGTCATTGATCTATCTAAATGTCAAATTGAAGGCCACAATGAAATCTTTTCACTAAGAAATTTAATTGAAAAAAAAGTTCTGCTTCTTATGAAAACAAAAATAGGTCTGCTAATATGGGGTGCAATTATTGTCCAGAGAATTCCAACAGATTGTTGAAAGACTTGAAACTATACAGATATTGTCAACCAGAAACTCAAACATCTTTTTAATATCAACCTCGGAGTTCTTGTTTGTGCAATCAGAATGTTTTATCAAAATAGTTTTGCAGATATCCATTGACAAGGTATGTAGATTTACGAGTTCCATTTTTATTGTAAAAACAGTTTATGTTAAAAAAAAACTTTGACCTTTAATTTTTCGTGGGGAATGGTTGTATTAAGTGTTGAAAAGTCGTTTTGATGTTGGTAAAATTTTATAATTTCAATTTTTTAAAAAGTTCCTCAGAGTTTTTGAGTATCTACATCTAATTAACACCACTTCTCGGATACGTTGTTGTACAGTACTACTGTAGTTTCTCCTTCACTGCTCTTAATATTTTGGTGAGGAGTAAAGAAAGAAGCTTGTTAGAACATGTACATCCGCTATGTCTTTTTGTTTGTAGCTTTTATTTTTATTTTTTTTTGTTTTTATGTAGTTTAGGAATCTATACCTATAGAAAGTCAATTTGGTTGTTAGGAATTTAAAAAATATTCTAAACTAACATGATTTTGAAGAACTTTCTCCTTAGAAAGGG